CCTAACCAATTTTCTAACTTGGGAAAACTTGAAAATCCCTAAAACGCCGCCCTATCTCCTAAGCTTTGACCGGCGTCCGGTGGCTCGTACAACACCGGCGTCAGTCAGGCCCTCTCTTGTCTCATTCTTTTAGCTTCGTTGGTTGATTAGTTCATGTTGAAGGTTTTTATCGTTGGTGGTGTTTCCGATCTGGATTTTTGTTTTTGGCAAGGTGAAGTTGTAGGGATAGATATAGGAGCCGGATCTTACGGTCGACGGAGTGGCTAGGCCATTAACTCCTCCTATCACAGCTTACGGCCACTTCTCCAATCTCCAAATCTGATTTTGCTTTGGTTTGTGAGATGTGTCGGTGATGTTGGCGGTGGTGTGACTCCGTCGTGTGTTTGCTCCGGCGTCCCCTATCCGTTTTAGGTTTCTTTTTAGGCTTTAACCAGTTTATGACGACTTCGCCAGAACCGGAAGTTCACTCCAAGATTTGTTCATGGAGGCGTATAATCAGTTTCTGAAGCCTTGATTTTAAATTTGAGAAGTAGACTTATTCTACTATATGAGGTCTTTGTCGCTTGATATTTCGTCATGGAATCCTTGGTAATTTGGTTTCAAAGGGTGGTCAATTGAAAAAAGAGATTTATCTAAATTAAGAGAATTGTTGTCGTGTTATCATAAACAGTATTGAAAGTCCGACTACTATTGTGGATTCGGGAACACCTAATTGTCTACTTTAGCCTCGAAGTAAAACATTTAGCATCCTCCATTCTGAATCCCGAACAAGACATTTGATTAGCTCAGGATGATGGTGTTTCCCATTTTAAAGTGTTGGGAATATTCATTAGTCTTGAACCTGGAGCTTTGTGTTTTGTTTATATAACACTTATTGGTGTTTTATTTGAATCTTTGTAATCTCTTCGTACTGTTTGTCGGTTTTGTGATTCAGCGTTAAAATTGTGATTGAGCGTTAAACAAAAACAAACCAACTTTCTAACTTCGAACCAATAACCTAACAGCCACTTTTTTAAAACAGCATTA